CAGTAGCAGGCTCATAGCCACTGCAGCCTTGACCTACTGGGCTCAGGTGATCCTTCTGCCTCAGCCTCCCGAGGAGCTAGGACTACAACCGTGTGCCACCATGCCCAGCTAATTTTTTTATTTATTGTAGAGATGAGGACCCACCAAGTTGCCCAAGCTGGTCTCGAACCCCTGGACTCAGGCAATCCTCTCACCTCAGCATCCCAAAGTGCTGGGATAACAGGCACGAGTCACCACACCCAGCCCACATTTTGAAGAATAATCCTGTGGGGCAAATATTATCTCCACTTAGAAGAAGGAACACGGAAACAGGAGGTTGGAGAGCGCACAACCAGTGTCAGGCAGGGCCAGGGCACGTGCCATGTGCCATGTGCCTTGTGCCAGGGTTTCTCAGAGAAGGGTGGGCCCTCTGCCTTCAGGGAGCTTGCTGTCTAATTGGCCACACCTCACCCGCCCTGTCTTCAAATACTGCAGAGGGGCCTGCCAGGGATGGCTATTTGTGGCTCAGGGAGGAGATCCAGTGAAGCTCCCCTCATAAATTACAAAGAGAGACACATGTGGGTCAGGATTGGGGAATTCAGTGTGGAGGAATCCCCAGGAATCTTGCTCGGTCCAATCAGGGATTTTCCTTCTCTTTCCCAGGAGAGTGGCTGATGTGGGCTGTGGGCATTTGCTGAATGTCCCGAACAACCTCCCCGGGCGTCTCCTGGTCCTGCAGGAGACGCTGGCCTCTCCCCCATCTCAGTGCTCTAACTCTTGTGCCGGAATTCTCCCCCCTGATCCCTGGCAGCCCAGAGGCAAGTTTCCTCATCTCCAACATAGGGTCGATGGTTTACCTTGCACATCCTAGCGCCTGCATGAGGAAAGGTGCGGGGCATTTCTGTGATTCACATGTCCCCTCCCCATGCAAGCTCTGGAGCCCCCAGGTGTGACCGGAACATTTTAAACCTTTTCTTGGACATGAGTAATTTATGTAATGCAGAGATGCCCGCCTCTGAATGGCCTCTGGTATTTGTTTTTGAGTCTGGTTTTTTTTTTCCAGCATTTTGTCCTCATCATCATTGTCAGGCTGTCACCTAACTGTCACTTGTACCTGGCTGCCTTAGCGGTTTTCTTTCTGCTGCTGTTTCAGTATTCTAGGTTGCTTGGTTTGGGTGTGTTTTCATACAAGCCTGGAGGCAGGGAGGCCAGAGGTGCTTCCTTCTGTGAATAAAGTAGACAGGTGTCAGTGCCTGGACTTTGAGCTGCCAATTCTGGCCACTCGATGGCTTTTTTGTTGTTTTACTCACAGACTGTGGGTAGTGGAGATGACCAAAACCCGGGTCTCCATGCGTGAGAGGTCACTTCAGGCATTTCTTTGTACCTGCCCAGAAAGGCTTCATAAATCCATCCTCAATGGAAGGTGTGAAGAAGTTGACTCTTCTTCCCCTGCCTCATCCGCCCACAACCCCCAGCCACCAGGAGTCCGCAGGAGGGATGGGGGCAAAAGACACAGGAACCGCAGCAGCAGCCGCAGGATGGGAGCCCACTGCTGACAGGGTGTCTGGCCTCAAATTACACTGTATCAGAGCTCGGGCATAAAATTAGCAGCAGTGTTCTGTGTGAGAGGAGCCAGAGAAATACTCATGTTCAGCAGAAAGGGAGAGAAGGAGCGGGGGAGGGGAGGGGCTGGCCCACCGCAGGCTCCGGGGTCTCCCCTGGACACCCTTGGCTCCCTCGAGGAGGTTGCCCAGTGGCTGAGTCAGGGCTCTAAGGAGGAGTCTTGGAGTGCTGGGGGAAGGGGTTTGGAAGGCAAGACTTGAAGGAGCCTGGGGGGGCAAACGTGAGGGCTTGTCCTACCCAAACTCCCTCTCTCTCTCTCTCTCTCTCTCTCTCTCTCTCTCTCTCTCTCTCACACACACACACACACACACACACACACACACACACACATAGATGTACACATGGGAGACTATTTAAAAAATGACTAAGAAATTCTGTATGTCACTTTTCATTCATTTTTCTTATGAATTCTTACCACACGCCCATCAGGTCAGCCTGCGTTACAGATTAGTAAAGCAAGGATGTAAGAGGACATGCCAGCTTGCCCAAGTACCATTGCATGGTGTGTCTGCACATTCTGCGCCCACTTAGATCAGAGCATCTAAGATATTCTCTCACACTCACAGTGTGGCCACTGTACACGTGACCTGCTCTTTTATCGACAAACACACACCTGCCTGCACACGTTGTGTGAGTTTAGATGCAAATATGTGTTTTCAGCTCTACACATATGCTACACACACTGTTTACACAATCACTTCCCAGCTGGGGCTCCCATTTTCTTGCTATCATTGTTTTGCTATTTCCTGTCTTTTCTGACCAATCATAGGCCAACATCTTCCTCTTCCTCAGTTGTGGCTAGGTGCTGGCACTTCCAGACACCAGCCCCTAAGAATGCTACTCCCTTTCGTCCTCATGTAACTGTTTCGCCCACTAGCCCAGCGACTCATGGATCCATCGTGTGTATTATTTCTAGCTCTTCAGGTGTGAATTCTTCTATAAATCGAGTCTATACAGTCTTTTGCAGGGTGTGCGTTCTTTACAGGATTTGTAATTTTGGTTGGTGAGCTCACGGGGCAGCACCTACAGTCTCCCTGACTCCAAACTATTTTTATGTAATGCTTTGGCTTAAGATTTCTGCTCCACATGGGAAGTTTATATCTGGGCCTCACACCAGTCATGTCAGGCTTGAGGCTCTGATCTAGTACACACAGCCCTCGTTCCTCCCACAGCTTGGGAGAGGACTTCGGCTCCTGCGGTGATCCCAGGCTGACAGCTGAGGGACTCTGTCTTCATAATCACTTGTGACACCCGACTTCACACGGAGAGCTCAGATTTGATTTCCTGCCAACAGCGGGACCTGTCGCCAGGACCCAGTCCTGGATCTGGCATTCGGATCTCAGCCCTAACAGTGCATGTCCATCCACTCTTGGTTTTCCCACTTGTAGAACAATGTTGGTAGCTACTAAGTGGCACAAGCCCCTCACGGGTGTAGGTTCCTGCCCCCTCCTCTTAGACCCTGGAAATTACACCTTCTTGCTGTTGAGCTGGAGTTTGTAGGTTTAAAATACTTAACCTCGTGTTACATAGTATCTTTTGTCTGCATGGAGTAGGATGGGAAATCCCCCCCCCCTTCTATTCCCTTCCTCTGTCTTTCTTTGTCTCTGTCCCCCAAGGAGTTCATAAGGGAACCTGGTTTCACAAGAGCCCTCGGTACCTGGTTGGCTGAGTAAAAAGAAGGAAATCCTCATTGGGTCAGGGCTGGGGCGCTGGGCCCAGAGCAGGTTCCTTCCTGGGGAACCTGGCTCCACCCCGAGCTCTCTGTGGGGCAGTAGGTCCCTTGGGTGGCTGTGCGAGCAGAGATGAGGCTCAAAGGAGAGCTCAAGGCCGTCAGAGCTCCCCATTCTTGGAGAAGACAGACCGAGGGATCCTAAGAATGGCTCCTATCCTGGCCCCTTTGGGAAGTAAGAGACCTGGGGTGGGAGTCCCTAGCTCCAGCGTCAGAGCTGTGCTGACTATGTACCCACAAACCCCTGTCCAAGTCCTGGGGATCCTAAGGAGGCCTAGGTTAGGGCAGAGGGAACAGGAAGGCCTGCCTGTCAGAAAGGCCCAGGCAGGGACGCCCGCGATGTCAGGGCTCAGCTGTCCTCATCTGCCACCTCCCTTCACCATCTTTCTCCCCATGTGTGTGACCCAGGAGTGAGTGGGGATGTGCATATGAGTGTGTGAGTATGTGTGTGGCTGGGGGTGGCTGGGGGTGGCTGTGCCCGTGGCCCCTGTGGACTTCTCGGAGCGCCCCCTTCAGAACCAAATAGCCACACGTGTTAGAAGGGGCCGAAGCTGAGACACGGCTGGCCAGGAAGGCACGAAACACAGGAAGACACAAACAAATGTGAAATGTACAAGATGGACAAGAGCTTTGCGGTGAAAACACAGGGATCTGTGAAAGGGTGTGATGGTGGGGTGGGGGGCTGGCTTGATTCAGGGTGAGGGGCCAGGGAAAGCCACACTAAAGGGGTGACTTCCAAGGCGAGACCTCAAGGAAGCAGTGAAGAGAGAATTTTTTTAAAAGTGAGAAAGCAGGATTTATTGAGAGGACAGAGAAGCTTCCACAGCAGGAGGCGACCTGAAGGGGTTGCCCCGGAAGAGAGCACTCTAGCAGAGGGAAAAGCATGCTGGAAGGCCCTAGGGGCAGGCATCTTGGAACAGTCGAGAAACGGAAAGGAGGCCAGTGAGAAGGAGGGTGCTCAGGAGAGGAAGCTGGGGAAGCCTCAGGGCATCAGAGGCAGGGAGAGGAATTTATACTTTCTCCCGATACAGGGTGAAGTGGAAGAGTTTAAACAGAGAGGGCTGTGATGAGGTTTGTGTGGTGAGGCTCATTCTGGGCTGGCAGCCCTATGGAAAAGTTTGGTTGGGTACCGGGTCTAGGGATGAGGAAGAACAGCCCAGGGCGCCAGAGTCAGAGCCTAATGGGAGCCCAAACCAACCTTCACACTTTAGGACTACAGAGGTTTGAGGAACCAGGGGACTTTCCTGGAGGTGGCGGCATTTGCTGGGCCTAAGGGGTGGCAGGCAAGGTGGAGGCTGGCGTTCCAGGCCTAGGCAATCGCAAGGGTAAAGGCTTGGCAGTGAGGGAGTGAGGGTTGGGTATCCAGCCACCCAGAGGATGGACCAGAGGATGAGAAGTGACTCCCCAGGGTCACAAAGCCCCCTCGGTGGCTGAGTTAGCACTGAAGCCCCGTCTCTGAGGGAGTGGGGCTTCCCATTCCCAGCTGAGGCTCGGCACCCAGGCCAGGCATCGAGGAAGCGGCCTCCTGCAAACCTGGTTCCTGAGGGTGGGCACTTCCCCAATCTCTGTGCATCTGGAGGCGGGGGAGGAGGAAGTGCTGGCCACAGGCTAGACTCAGAGCCTGGAGGAGGAGCCTTGGACGGAGTGCAGAGAGGCAGGGTGGGCCCAGGGGACCTCAGGAGCCACAAGCTGAGGCAGACGCAGGGTGACAAGAGGAAGTGAGAGGTGAACTTGGCCTGGACCCGGTTGGGGGAGACCCTCCACAGCCTGTTCCCAGGACCGCCGCCCGCTATGGCCACAGCCCAGCAGCTGCGGGCCGAGAGGTGAGTGCCACGATGTGGCCCTTGGGGCCTCCTCACTGTTCCTGGAGGGCCCGCCCCTCCTCAGACCCTTATCAATTTGGAGACTGGGGTTTGAGTCAGAACCCAAATACTCAGAAATGCAGACTCTTAGAACTGCATCTAGCATCTTCGAGGTGTGGCTCACCACCCAGGCGTACATGAGAACACGGAAGCCCAAAGAGGGGGAGTGACTTTCCCAGGGTCACACGAGTGAGTGGTGGGGTTCTGGGTCCCAGGCAAGGCTCTTTGCTCCCCGCTGTGGTCAGTGATGGCTTTCCAGCTTCTGTTCAATCAGAATCACAGAATTCAGCTTGTTCTCTCTCTTAATTCAGGGCTTGGTTCAAATGATACCTCCTCTGAGAAGTCTTCCCTGCCTGCCCCTACCTAATTACTCTCTGACCCCTTGCCCTGTTTCTTTTTTCTACATAGTCCTTATATTACTGGCCTAATATTATGGACTCATTTATTGTTATTTTTCTTTATCATTGGCTCCCCCAAGGGTTTTTGCCTGTTTTGATCACTGCTGTGTGCCTAGGAAGTAGAACAATGTTGGTACCTACTAAGTGCTCAGCACATGTGGCTGAATGAATGAATGATTGAATGGATCTTTGAAACAAAAAAAGTCGTAGATTCTTCTAGTCCAACCCTGCCATTGTGCAGATGGGGAAACTGAGGCCCAGGGAGGATGAAAGACTTACTCAGAGTAATGTAGAATGACTGGCTAGGCTGGGGCTTGGAGCATAGCCTCCCCAGGGCCTGGCCTCATCTCCCAGCAAGCGTTTTCCAAATGTTTCCTCAGCAGCCAGGCCTGTGCCTTGAACTGCGGGGACTGTGAGGGCACAGAGCGTGTCTCCTGCCCTCCTGGGTTGGAAGAACAGGTGACATCAGGAAGCGAATGTCCCTGTTAACTGTTCAGAGGCCACTGGAAGGGCCACCAGAGACGAGTCTGGCCAGTTTGAGCCTAAGAGGGCAGCAAAGGGCCTGTGGTGGAAGCTGGGGCCAAAAGTGGAGACTGGGATGGAATTTCCAAAGGTTGAAGGTCAGAAGGCTCGTCCTATGTTGGGGGGATATGAGGAAGCAGAAGCCAGCGCCTAGAGAGAGCATCAGAATGGCCTTCCTGAGCCGCAGAGTTGTGTTCTCGGGGGGCTGGTATGGGTGTCCAGCCAGATTTCCTCTTCCCTACAAGTTCCACAGGAAACTGGGCCCGGCATGCAAACTTGAACCTTCCGGAAACAGCAGCTGTTTGAGGCTTGGGGCACTTCCTGCTTCTCAGGGGACAGGGTTCAGGAGATGACACTGGAAGCCGGCCCATAGGTCCGTGTATTCCCTGCCTCCTACTCCCTGTCCCTTCAGCTGCCATGACCCTCAGGTGGAAGGGCTGCCTCCATGGGCCTTGGAGCCAGGTACTGGTGGCACCTGGGCTCCCTGCACCATGAATGCCTTGTCTGAAAGTCAGCCCTGGATTGTTCTGGAGGCCAATGCAACGAGAGAGTGAAGGGTTACACACCAGGGCTGTCTAGACCCCAAGAAGAGACATCCAAAGACGGAAAGGGCTGCCCTGGGTGGCAAGTTCGGTTCCAGCTGACATGTTTTGAGCACCAACTGCATGCCAGGCACCATGAACCTGAACTAGCTGCTCTCCAAGGGCCGATCCTTGGCTTCCTCCAGGCCAAGCTCCAAGGAGGACTTTCCACAAACAGTGAGTGAATGGAGCCTGAGCAGCCGGGGGCTTCCAGCTGGGTTTGCTGCACACCCCCTCCCCTGACCCCATCCCCGGCCACCAAAGGATTTGCTTAATGCAGACAGGGGCAGCAGACATGTGTTGAGCACCTACTGTGTACAGGGTCCTGTTCTGGGCATAGGGGATCCAGCATGAGCAGGGTCCCTACCCTTGTGGGGGTTTGGGGGTTTGTTACAGATGGGACCTCATGACTACCCAGAGGACTAAGTACGTCCACGGTCCCCATTTTGCCAAGGAGAGGACAGAGCCAGTGCGCAGGCAGAACCCTGCCCTAGGGGATCTGAGCTTCATCTACCAGTGCTGCACAGGGCCTGGACTGTCAGCTGATGTCTGCCCTGCTTCCTTCCTTCCTTGAACTTGCCCTCTTGCTTGGCTATGAGCCTTTGCACTTGCCTTTCTCCCTGCTTGAAAGACCTTCCCCTAGGCCAGGCTCGGTGGCTCTGCCTATAATCCCAGCACTTTGGGAGACTGAGGCGAGTGGATTGCCTGAGCCCGTGGGTTCAAGACCTGCCCGGGCAACTTGGTGAGCCCTGGTCTCTAGGATAAATTTTAAAAATTAGCAAGGTGTGGTGGCACATACCTGTAGTTCCACCTACTTGGAAGGCTGAGGCTGAAGGATTGCCGGAGCCCAGCAGGTCAACACTGGGGTGGCCGTGAGTGTGCCACTGCACTTCAGCCTGGGCAACGGAGTGAGACTCCAACTCAAAAAAAAAAAAAAAAAGAAAGAACTTCCCCACTGTCCTGTAGCCAACTCCTCTTTGCTTTTCCTGGCTGACCACTAGTGCTGCTTCCTCCAGGAAGCCCTCCCTGCCCACTCTCAGCCTGAGGATGCTCTACTTTCCTCTGACAACGCCTGAGCCTCCATCATCCTAACCCTAACCCTAAACCTAACCCTAACCCATCATCCAAGACTCTGCTCCCAATCTCTCTTGTCCGCTGCACTGCTGGTTCTTTGTGGAACGAAATTAAGGCCAGGCTCGTGTTGTAGCTCAAAACACCACGCACTCATCCTTAATCACACTCAGGACCATTCAAACGATGCCACCATTTGTTCAGTGCCCACCTCCCTACTTCCTCTTGGAGCTAAGAGATCCCAGAGGCCCATATGTGCTCATGGGCTTAGAACAGTGTCTGGCCTTCAAGCAGTGCTAAAATTATGATTATTTCAGTCTGGGCGACAGGCTGAGAAGGGCTGGGACTTAGCCAAGATCACGTAGCCGGCCGCTGGAAGGCTCAGAGTGAGGGGCAGTGTGGCAGCGTTCAGGGACCAAGTTCTGGAGCCAGACTGCTTGGGCCCAAACTCCAGCTTCCCGACTTGGACAAGTCAGCTAACCGCGCTGTGCCTCCATTTCCCCCTCGGTCTTGGAAAAGTGCCTGGCGTGAGTGTGCCCTCAGGAGATGGGCAGCTGGAGTTCTGTGACCCAACCTGCCCTGCTACCCGCCCAGGGCCGAGTCTCTCTTCAGGTTCCTTCCTGCCCCGCCCCCATCACACTGCAGAGGAAATCCCCTAGGAAATGCACAGTCTTGGGGAGAAAGCGGAGGTAGCTTCTCCCAAGGGTGTCACCAGGGAGGCATGTGTGGAAAGTGAACGGGAGGTGACCAACAGCCAGGAGATGCTCTGGGGTGGGGTGGAGAGCTTCTCAGACCACCCACTGCTGCCCTGAGTCACCTCTGGGTGCGGCCTCCTGAGTTCTGACGCGGCCTCAGATCCTGGGCGGACCAGGTCATGTGTGACTGGCAGGGACTAGGAGAGGGCGTGTAGATCCCGAGGTCCCGGCCAGCTCTGGGGCCTTGGGTGCGGCTCCCGTCCCGCCCCATCTCCTTGTCACTACACAGAACAGTCATACTTGCTTCTTGTCTCCTCATCTGTCTGCAAGTGGCTGCACTTGGCAATCCGGGCCTCTCCTCCGCGGTCTCTCTTCTATTCCTCTCCCTGTCCCTCCTGACTCCCACCCTTGGCTCACTGAGAACTCTTCACGGGGGTCTTAGCCTCAAGTCACAGGCAGGTGGCCCGTCCCTCTCCCACTCTGGCAAGCCCACCCTGCTCAGCTGAGCTATACCCCTGCGTCCTGCTGGCCATCAACTCAGGAGTCCAAGGGGCCTCTCGAATTAGCATGCCCCAAACAGAGTCCATCCTCCACCCCCTTCCTGGTCAGACGTGTAGGTGTCACTCTTGATCCTGCCCTTCCTTTCACCCCCACGTCCAAACAGTGACTAACGCCTGCTGGTCCTGACTGAGGAACAATTCGCAAATTGGCAACGTGTCCATGAGAAAAGCATTAGGGTGCAGGGGCTGAGAAGCTGACAGTGACTTAAACAAACAGGGCTTATCTGTTCACATAGCAAGAGGTCCAGAGGGAGGCCGGGGCTGGTTCTGCTACCTAGTGACTTCTGGACCAGCACCCCAGGGAGTCTTTTGGTCTTCCCTGAGTTTTTGCCTCATGGCTGCATCATGGCTGCTGTAGGTCCAGCTGTCACACTTGCTTTCAAGGGAGGAGACCGTGCTGGCCTTGTCCATCCCTTCGGATCAGGAAAACAAACAAAGGGAGGCTGGGAAACAGGAACAAGATCATTATATTTGGCTCAGACTAGTATGATCTATCATTTTAGGGTCAGGCACGTTGCCACCCTGAACAAAACCGGTGCTTGGCTAGCCAGAAAGAAGCAGGGGACAGAGAATGCTAACGGTGGCTGCTAAGGGCAATGGCCTTGTACCTGTGCCCTCCTCCTGTCTCTGCTGTCAGCTGAGGCCCATGTCATCCCTCGGATGGGCTCCCTCAGAGCCTCACAATGGTGCTCTCTTCCCCACATCTCCGCCCCTCCTTACTCTCTTCATGGCTGCCCGAGGGGGCCTCTGAAAACCAGCTGTATCCTGCTTCCCTTTCTTCCAAAGCCCTGCATGGTTCCCTGCTGCCTGGAGAAGCTCCTTGCTTGGCCCCTGAGACCTTCCTCAGACTGGCCTCGCCTGCCCCTCCAGTCTCAGGTTGCACCAGATCTGGGCCCAACCTCAGGACACACCACTCCTCCTGCCTGGTAGACCACCCCCCACAATTCCCTACCTGGTGGCCTCTTCTTCCACCTTCTGGACCTGGCTCCTCTTTGAGGATTCTCCCACTGGGGCAACATGAGACACTCTCTGGGGGGCCCTTGCAGTGTTCTGTCCAGAGCGTGTTGATGTGGCTTGTCCTGTGACCCAGGGCCTGGAAGAAGGACCTGGGGAGGATGAGGTGTGTGATGCCTTGTTCTCGGATGGGTCCGTGTGGTTGCAAAACAGAGTGTCAGACCCTCACATGGTCCCCAGCTTTCAACCCCTGTGCTCGCACGGCCCAGGCTGTGTCTTGTCATCTCTGTACTCCCAGCATTGGTGGGGGGGCCTGGTACACTGCCTCAACCCCAGAGGGTCCGCAGGACAAGTCGGGGCGATAAACAGGTTATCTTCTCTGCCTCTCAGCGACTTTGAACAGCTCCCCGATGACGTTGCCATCTCAGCCAACATCGCCGACATCGAGGAGAAGAGAGGCTTCACCAGTCATTTTGTAAGAGAAACCCCTTGGCCTTCACCCCCTAACCTCTGAACTCCCACCTAGCTGACCGCGAAAGCCTCACCTTCTGACCCAGCATTTCTCAACATTGCCAACTTTACCCCTTGGGGGATCATTGGACGAGAACCTTGACTATTTAGATTTTGCATCTTGGGGCAAGGCTGCTCCTGGCGTCCAGTGGGTAGAACCCAGGGATGCTGCTGGACATCCTCCAGGGACAGGACACCCTGCCCTCACCAGGAATTATCCAGCCCAGCGTGGTACTGAGGCTGAGAGGCCCTGCTCCCTCCCTGTGACCTCAGATCCGCCACCTTCCCTCTTCTTTGGCTTCTGTCCCCAGCCTCTGAGCCCTCCCTGCTGGCCTCTGGCCCCCCTAGGTTTTCGTCATCGAGGTAAAGACGAAAGGAGGCTCTAAGTACCTCATCTATCGCCGTTACCGCCAGTTCTATGCCCTGCAGAGCAAGCTGGAGGAGCGCTTCGGGCCGGAGAGCAAAGCCAGTGCCCTGACCTGCAACCTGCCGGTGCTCCCAGGTAGGCCGCCATTCCCGTCTTCTGTCCCAGGTCTCTCCGTCCAGGTCCCCTGATACTATTTGGTGACTTTATCTCAACCCCATGTGAAAACTTCAATTAGTTCACAGCCCCCTCCTGGCAGTCACGGGCTGCCACCCGCCCCCTCGGTCTTGCTCTGCCTCATCCCCAGCACTCTGGCCTCACAGCCCTTGACTCCGATGACCTTGACAGCCGACGGCTTCTGCCGTCCACACCGAGGAGGCCACGGTTTGGAACGCCCCAGCACCCGGCCTCCCTTCCTCCAAGACAGCAATCCCCGAGTCTCTCTTTAAACACACCCCACCGTACAGCCCTCCCCTGCCTCCTTCCACGAGACCAGTCCTCTCACTTCACAGTCATGGCTCCCACCCTTTCCTGTGGCTCTCCTTCCTGCCCTGTCCTGCCAGGAAGCCGGGGGTGTCACACCTCTGCTTGTAGACAGTCCCCTCAGCCCCTAGCCTCCCTGATCTTCCTCTCAGGCTTGGTCCTAATGTGCACCTTGGACAGCGCCAAGCCCCTGACTTCTCAGCTCTTGTCCCTGTGCCTAAGCCCTGCAGGAGGAAACCCTCCACGAGCGAGCTACACATGGGTGGTCTCAGGGTTCCCTCCATGCCCTGCCAGCCAGACACAGGGACCATGACCATCCTTCCCCAAACCCAGGGGCCCTTCCCACACTGTTCCGTCCTCAAATCCCAACTGTGTACTTCCCCCCACTCCCCGCCCCTTCTCTCTCTCAGTGTGTGGCCATGTTCCTCCTCATCTAGCCTCACCGAGGAATCCACTCCAAGTTCTGCCCAAGGGGTCTCCTGCTCTATCCAGCCTCCCCTCTGGAGCTCCATAGTTTCCCCACGCCTCTCTTCCGGGGCTTTCCCATCACAGCCTAGTCCTGTCTTTCCTTGAATAAACCTCTCCCCCTCAACACTCTTCTGTCTTTAAAGAGCCCCATGCTGTAAAGAAGGCTCCCTTAGTTTGATACTATTACAGAATCTGCCTTCTCTGCTGCTCCCTGGGAGGTGGGCATCCCCCGGGCCCACACTGTCCTCTACCTTGTCATTCTCACTCCAGACACTCACCGGGGCAAGCTGACCCATGTCTGGGGCTTTGATTGTCATCTTCTTGCTACTGACTCCTTAGTGGCTAACTCTAGCCAGGACCCTTCTACCACCCCCATACTCCCCCCGGTGGGGGCTCTCTGCCTGAGACCTCCTGGGGGGACATTTGCCTCTTCTTCGGCCATTATGTTTCCTCCTCCCCAGAACATTCCTCCTGGCGTTTGAGGAATTGTTCAGCCATCCACACAACAAATCTGTGTTCATCTGGGCATGACTCTAGCCACACGGTTCCTAACCTTGGTGACATATTGGAAATACCCAGAGAGATTGAAGGAATCCTGACCCCTGGGTCCCACCCCCAGAGAGTCTGATCCAGTTGCTCTGGGGCGAGTCCTCCACGGGAAGATAAAGCCCCATGGGTGACTGGCATGTGCAGACACTGTCCCGGGTGAGGGGACACAGCTGTGAACAAAGCTGACTGATATACTGGAACCAAGAATCTCCCGTGTGTGTGTATGTGTGTGTGTGTGTGTGTGTGTGTGTATGTGAAAGAAGGCAAAACACAAACGTGTGTGTGTGTGTGTGTATGTGTGTGTGTGTTTGAAAGAATAGGCGAAACACAAACAAGAACAATATCAGCTGGCAATAGTGAAACTCAGCCAATGCACAGCGAATGGTGCTGAGTAGCCATTTCAGCACCGTGAAGGACAATGGGAAGAACGCAGGGTGGGGCAGGGCACGGGCAGGGATTTCCAGCCCTGGGGCCATGCTGGGCCACACTGGGCCAGGCACCTAGGACAGCTCTTTGCCTCTCCTCAGCCAAGGTCTACATGGGCGTGAAACAGGAGATCGCCGAGATGCGGATCCCAGCCCTCAATGCCTACATGAAGGTACCAGTGGGCTACCCTACCTCAGCTTCGGGAGGGCATGGAGCCTGGGGGGAAGCCGGGGACCAACCCTTTGGGAATGGGGCTGGCTCTCTGGCTCTGATGACCCCATCTTCAGTCCCTAAAGGTCTGGCCTGGGGACAGAGTAGGAAGCGTCCTTGGGGCTCCGGGGACTGGGGCAGGAGCAGTGGAGAAGCACTTGCCCCGGTGAATGTTGGCATTCAGTTGTGCTCATGCATCTTGGCTGGGTGCCACACTTTGAATCGACAAATTTTTGCAGGTGCCCCAAGCTCGCAGGCAAGTGTCTGTGTTAGGACACTGCAGTGGATCAGATCAGTGCCTGGCCCTGAAGTCTGCACTCATGAAATCGCACAGCCGTGTACGCACACCCACATCCCAGGGCATGGCCCACCAGGCTGCAGGTTGCACACACAGTGCCTCTGTGCAAAACAGAGAAGGACCCTCTGGGCGCCCCGTCCCCCAGCGTCCAGGTTGGCATTCAGCTGTACTCATGCATCTTGGCTGGGTGCCCTGGTATGTTTCCCAACCTGCAAACTATCTGCGTCCCTATGTGATGAGAACATAGAGGAAGGAGCATCTTTAGGGCAGAGGCCAAAGTGGTCAGGAAAAAATAGCCATCTCTCAGAGCTGCCCAGGAGAGGGACGGTATTTTTTATGAGGTAGTCAGTGCACCATGTGAACTTGATGTTGACCTCAGGCAGCTGAGGGTGACAGGCTTGATGTTAACCTCAGGCAGCTGGCAGGAGAGGCCCTCCTCCTCATAGCCAAAAGGCGTCCTTGTGCAGAAGACCACTGCTCAAGGAGTCTCTTTAGTCTTGGCTCTGACATTGACAGGTTGGGTGATTCGGGGCAAGGTGCCCATCCTCTCTCGGCCTTGATTTTCAAACCCATGAAGTTCCCCGTGGTTCTCTGGCCTTGCGAGAAGTGAAGCTGGTACTGTTGAGTAAAGAACAGGAAGGTGCTTTGTGAACTGTGAACCTGCTTCTAGGACGTGAGAGATCTTGGCTCTTAATGGTGGGAGGGACAGGAGGAAGGCAAGGGAGGGAGGAGAAAGCAGATCGCTGCTAGAATCTGGGCTCTGAGCAGGGAGGAAGGAGGGAGGAAAACCCACACGGGCTTCCGCCCTTAAAAGGGCACTGTGATAGTTGAGCCTTCAGGGTGGCTGAGACTCCACCCTCCTGTCTCTGGGCTGGAAGAGGGAAGCGGGCACTAGAATAGAGCTTGGTTCTATCCTGGTATCCCAGGAGGCGGGAGGGGTGGTTGGGGACCTGGGGCTCGTCATTCCATACCTGGTCATGGCAGGGAGCTACCCAGAGGATCCCATCTCTGCCTGTTTGTGTCTGAATGGCTTCCCAGAGCCAGAGGTCAGTCAGTGCAGAAATCTGTCACAGCAACCTCATCCTGTGCTCCAGAGACAGGAAGCTCACTATCACTCTGCCCTTAGCCAGGCTACTTGTCCCACGGTTGGCAGCTATGAGAAAAGCCCAGCTCTCTGTAACTTCTGCTCCCTGGTCTCACTCCCATCCTCATGAAGAATATAAATCATGTAACCCCTACCTGGAACCATGTGATGTGCTTTGACTGAAACAGGAGTTTCTTGATATATGTTTATGGGTGAATGCATAGTTTTATTTAATCCCTTCAGTGACTTGCGAATTTGGTACTATTATCCTCACTTACAAGCAGGGAGGTTACTCGGTGTCGCAGCGAGGTTACTCGGTGTCGCAGCAAGGTTACTCGGTGTCACAGAGCAGTTAGGTGGGAGGATGGGACTTGAACTCACTTCTCTGAGACTCCAGGGCTTGAGCTCTTACTCACGTGCTATGTTGTGTAAAAATAACAGCAATGGTGACATTACGTAACTTGGTGTAACATTGGGCACTTGGTGTATGCCTGGTGCTGTTCCAAGCTGTGCACGTATTCACTCATTTAATCCTCACACAAGCCCACAAGGGAGGTACTATTATTATCTCTGTTTTATTGATGACTATCCTGAGTCACATTTGCCCCCTGTCACCCAGCTGGGGAGCAGCAGAGTTGAGATTCCATCCCGGGAGCACCCGGCCCCTTAAACATCGCCCAGGTGGGCCTCCCCCCCACCCCATATGATAGCCTTTTCTAAGATCTGCAGGCTCAGGTTGAAATTTCCCATCCCTTTCCCATCCTGCTGCCCCCACGAGATTCTCTGCAGAGTTCTGGGTGCCTCTGGTGCTGCAGCACCCAAAGGCGACCTCAGTGTTCCTGGCCCCGTGCAGCGTGAAGCTTGGTGGGGTGGCCCCACTAGGCTCTGGGTGCCTGTTGTCTCACCTTGAGCAAAGCGGTAGGCTTTAGTGGCAGATGGCTCTGGGCACACTTGCTAGCCTGTGTGGCCTTGGGCAGGTTCCTTCCTTTTTCTGATCCTAACTCACAGGTTATCGGGAGATGGGGCAAGGTGTCACATGTGGGACCCAGTGCAGTGCCTGACACAGTCACTGCCAGGCCCTGTTAACTGTCATCACCATTACTGTGATGAGAACTTTATGTCTTTTCCAATGGACGCCACTCAAGCCAGTGGTCCCCTCCTGACCTTGGAGCCAGGAGCAAAGCTGTGAAGTGTTACCTTCAGCCTGCCGGGTTTGCTGTTGTTATTGTTTTAAATAGTATCTTTCTAGGCATCAGGCATAGGGTGCATGAATAGAGAGAAGCAAGCAAACATCAGGCGGACGGGGAGAGAGCAGCTGGGCTGGGTGTCCAGAACTTTCTGCTGACCACCTCCTGCCCTCCCCGACACAGAGCCTCCTCAGCCTGCCGGTCTGGGTGCAGATGGACGAGGACGTCCGGATCTTCTTCTATCAGTCGGTCTACGACGTGGAGCAGGTGCCTCAGGCACTCCGTCGCCTCCGCCCACGCACCCGGAAAGTGTGGGTGACCAGCCCCTGCGCTCCCAGGGGCAGAGTCCTGAACCCCTGCGGGAAAGGCGTCTTACCTGGAGGGAGGGAAGGAATACAGCTCGGTTCTATTCCTGGGCACCCCAGGATGGGTTGGTTTGTTAGATGAGCTTGGAAAGTCAAGCACAGGGTCTGGAGGCACGGAAGGTGCACGTGTCTTGGTGATCATAGTAAGGCCTGGAGGACGGGACTGGGACGTGGTTTGGTCCCCACCGAGGATGGCCCAAGAGCTCTGCGTGCCTGGAAAGAGTGGAGAGCGCTGGAAGGCGGAAAGAGCCCTGAAATCCACAAACATTCCCTGAGTTGTCATGGTTCCAGGCTGGCTGTGTGCCGGCTGTAACACACTGGCCTCCAGGGGACGCTGCTGCTCCTTTTTCCAAAGAGCCCACCCCTCCCTTCCAGCCCCCTCCTAAGCAAAAAATAACCACCCAGATTCCAAGCCACTGAAATAGTGCTGGAGTCCCACGCCGAGGTTGCTGCTATTAAGAATTTCAGAAAAGCTGGGCAGAGCTCCTGAGCCCCGACTTCCCCACCAGCTCCCCCGTCTCCCTCCAGCCGATATCTTAAGTGTCCTCTTGGTATCTGGCATCTCCCCTGTGCACCCCGGTAGGCACTGTCTGAATTCCAGGTGTGCCACCTGTGGGCCCTGGAACAGGGCATGCCACCTCTCCAAGCCTCAGTTCAAAAATTAGAATAATCGCATTCACATTGGAGGTCGACTGTAGGGAGAAGAAGGAACCAATGTAAACAGTTTGGCACCTTAAAGGCACTAAACAAGAATATAGTCTCTTTCTCACTTCCTTTCTGAGTCTCAGCGTCCTGGTGCATAAAGAAGCCGAAGGTGTGGCCTCTTTGGGCAGTTGGGAGAGCTAGAGACACAGGTGCCAGCCCAGAGGACCACTATAGCCACACTTTAGCAAACCCTCCCTCTCCTCCCTCACTCCTGGCAAGGGTCTTCTTGCAGAAGCAGGGTGCTGGGCCCTGGAAGAGTCGCAAGGGTTGACAAGTCCCTCTTCTCTCTCCACAGCAAGAGCGTGTCCCCACAAGCTGCCAGCTTTGACCGCATGGAAGCTCCTCGAGCAGAGGTAGCCCACCAGCCAGGCCCTCACGCTGCAGGCAACAGCCTTTGTCCAACTGCCGCCACTGAGTCCCTCCTCCTGGGTGCTGCTGTGTGCTGGGCTGGGAGGAAGTAAGAGGCTATGGTCCCAGCCTGACATGGGTACTCCTAGCCCCGCTGCCATGAGGGAATGCAACCAGCAGGCAGAGGGAACAGGGGTCGCATCCATCCACATGCTCCTCCAACCAGCGTGCCTGGGCCTCCTCCAACTTTGTCATTTTTTTCATGTGGCTGTGTTATCAGTGATATCTCTTCATTTCTCCTTGTAATTCCTTTCACAATCAGTTGCTTATCTAGCAAATGTTATAAGACCAATAAGAATAACAAAGGGAACCCCCCCCAAAAAACTGGAATTAGTTTTTGGAGGGTGGGCCCCTTGTAGTACTGGCTTCCTCTACTAGATAAGTGTCCTAGGAATGCATCAGTATCAGTGTTGGGGACTGAAGTCACAGAGATGACTCAACAAGGCTCTGTCCTCACTGAGCTCACAACGCCTTGGGACATGCTTACAGAGGGTCATTACAGACCAGTGTGGGCAGAGCCCTGGCAGACAGGAGGTGGGGGTTATGGGAGGCCTGAGGCCTGTGGTAAGGCCTGGTGGCTGTGGAAGGTGCCTGGGCTAAAGAGTTTGGACCCTTTCCCCTATGCACTCATCTCTCCAGGTCTAGAAGGAGCACCCATTCTGGAGTCAGGGAGACCTGGTTCAAATCCCATCTTCTCCACTAATAAATGGGGTGGCCTCAGACCAGTCACTCTTTCTCTCTGAGCCTCAGACTCTTCATCTGTAAAACAGGACACCAAAGTGTGTCAGGTACTTTAGTAGGACCTTAATGTTTCCTCCCTCCCTCCTGACCCTTCTCGTCTTCCCAGGCCCTGTTTGACTTCACTGGAAACAGCAAACTGGAGCTGAATTTCAAAGCTGGAGATGTGATCTTCCTTCTCAGTCGGATCAACAAAGACTGGCTGGAGGTGAGATTAGAGATGAGGTGGGGCTGGAGGTGAGGGCGGAGGTGAGGATGGGGATGAGGTTGAAGGTGAGAATGAGGGTAGGTTGGAGGTGAGGATGGAAGTGAGATGAGAGATGAGGTTGGAGAGGAAGATGGGAATGATAATGAGGAGAGGTTGTAGGTGAGAATGGCGATGATACTGGAGGTGAGGTTGGAGGTGAGGATGGAGGTGAGGTTGGAGTAGGAAGATGGCGGTGAGAATAGAGGTGAGGACGGAGGTGAGTTTGGAGGTGAAGGTGAGGATGGAGGTGAGGGTGGAGGTGAAACTGGAAGTAAGGTTGAAGCTGAGGTTGAAGATAAGGATGGAGGAGAGTTTGGAGGTGATGATGGAGGTGAGGTTGGAGGTGAGGATGAAAGTGAGTTTCGAGGTGAGCTCGCCTCAGGTATAGTGGTGGGTCAGAGACTGAGTCAGGATCAGTTATGGCCTTAAGAAAGGGATGTCATCTGAGGATAGTCTAGAGTTCCAGGCAGGTGTGGGGAGACTGTGGGAACACAGCCACTGGGGAGGCAGGTGTGTGGTAGGAGCAGAACATTCTGGAGCTCATGCACCTGCCTTTGGTTCTGATCCTGTGAAATGGTTTGCTTCAGGCCAGTAAGTGAACCTACTGAGTTTCATTTCTCGGTCTGTACCAGGGTTTCTCGGCAGTGGCACTGTCGACATTTGGGGCCAGATAACTCCTTCTCATGGGACTGCCTTGAGCAATATAGGGTGTTTAGCAGAGTCCCTGGGCTTCCCACTAGGTGCCAGCAGCACCCCTCAGTTGCAACAATCACCTCGGTCTCCCAGACATGCTCTTGGGGGGTAGAATGGCCCCAGCTGAGAAGCACAGGCCCATGACATGGGATCACATCGCCTCTGGCGCAGGCAGCAGTGAAAGGTGGGGATGAGGAGGTGAGCTACGAAGAGCCTGAGGGCCAAGTCCTAGCTCTGCTTTTAACTCGCTTTGTAGACCTTTGGAAACTTGCTCAACCCCATGGTTTCCTTTTCTGTGCAAGTTTCTTCACACCCTTCCTGGAAGGGGTGACGGACATGGTAGATGTCCAGGGCTTGCCCAAAAACCTGGATGCCTGGTGCCTGACTGATACATGGTCCTCAGGTGACTTAAATGACACTTCAAAGCCAGGCCCTGTCCCCGTCACTGCTTTGTCCCAGCGTGGCCTGCAGAAGGGCTTTGTTCTGACTCAGTGAGTGGAGTAGGACATCGTATAGGCCCTGGTCTGCCCTGGCCTGCCCTGACCTGGGGCCAGTTTTTTGTATTAGGTCCTTATTCAATGAAATTATCTTGACTCCGTGCTCCTGGGGGAAGGGGGATAAGAGGGGTGCCTGAAGGAGCTTCTGGGATGGGTCCAGAGGCAGGCCCAGCCCCCAGGAGTCCCAGAACCTTGGAGAGTCCTTGGTGCCTATGGACTGGAGAGGAGCAAGCGGCCCCTGGTCTGGCCAACTGAGCAGTTTTGATTTTACCCTGATCCTGAAGCTCTGTCTCAGGAACTCCACAGCTTACAGTCCCCTGAGGGTCTCTCTGGGTCACTCTCCAGAAACAAAAAACATCTATTTCCTTCCTGTTTTCTGGAAAGTCCTATGTGTCAACTTCTAACCTCAGGTTGGGGGAGGGGCAGGGGAGCAGGGCAGGAATCACTTTGAGCCTCAGTTTATATGTCTGCAAAACGGTGTGTAAGTAATCCATTTTTCACAGTGTGGTGAAGATTAAGAAGAGCCTGTGCACTAAGCCCAGGCAGTGGCTGGGTCTTGGGCCTGCGTTTTGGAGAAAGGCATGGGCTGGAGAAAGAGGTTTCTGGTCTACTTGCTCTAAGCAGGTGCTCGGCGGCATCTGTGGAATGAATGAATGTGTGGGAATCACCAGCAGGCCCCTCCCACCCCTCACCCTCTCCCTCTTCTGCTCTATTTGCCTCCTGAGTCGCTCTCACCATCCGACTCACCATACTGGTTGCGGTTCATATTCACGGCCGTCACACGCTATTGCACTGGGAACTCCATGAGGGTGAGGACTTCCCTCTACCTTGAGATCTCAGAGCCTGCCACAGAGCTGGTGCTCAAGATGTCTTTGTTGGATGAATAAATGAATAAACGAATATAATGAAAGCAGCTTTCCAGACCGATTCAAATCTTCACCTACTCTAAAACTGAAATATAAGTCTTAAGGCAGACAGCTTGGTGAACTTCCTCACTTTTCTTCCCCTCTCCCACATAAGGGGGCCCAGACCTTGTCTGCCCATCCTTATAAAGGGGCTGGGGGCTCCAAGGTGTGGCCCTCTGGCCTTTCTTCCCGCCAACCGGGCATCCCTTCCCTTCCTCCCCAGGGCACTGTCCGGGGAGCCACAGGCATCTTCCCACTGTCCTTCGTCAAGATCCTCAAAGACTTCCCCGAGGAGGACGACCCCACCAACTGGCTGCGCTGCTACTACTACGAGGACACCATCAGCACCATCAAGTTCGTGGCCTGGCGTCCTGCCTGCCATCCCTGCCACCCCCCACTCCCACCACACTCTCGTGTGTCCCCCATTCCATAGCTTGCCTTTCAGACAAGCCACAATGCTGTGCCAAGGTCAGCGTGGCCTGACCAGCCTCATCCCTGGCCCCCACCGCTGTCCCCCTTCTGGCCCAGTGCCCCTCACCTCTGCCTGTTGCCCCCTCAGGGATATTGCAGTGGAGGAAGATCTTAGCAGCACCCCACGCTTCAAAGACCTGCTGGAGCTCATGAGGTGAGGGCTGGGGACAGGGCAGGGCATCAGTTGCCCCTGGAAGAGGACGGAGGGAGAGATGCTAGTAGTAAGGAGCTGGGTGCTTGGCATCTATTTGGCCTTCTCATCTTATCCGCAGCCTGGTCTGCAGATTAGGTATCCTCTCCCCGTGCTGGAGATGAGCTGGGAGCTACAAAGAGGTCCAGGGACTTAGCTGAGGTCACAGCTTGGGAGTTCAGATCTGAATCTGTAGCTGGGGCTAAAGTCTCTCTCACTAAAAGCCTTGGATTTGAACCATCCACCATCAGGGACTCACTACTTCCCAAGGTCCAGGCCACTGTTGGAAGGCTATTTTATGGAATGGCAAAAACGTTGTTGCATTTCTGACTGTAAAAGTAAGACCTGCTCATTTAAAAAGAAATGTCAGTAATCATGCCAGAAAGGTACAAAGAAATGAAATCGCCTCATAATTCTACTCCTGTCACTATGTGATATGCATTCAGATTTCATCAGTCACATACAACATGCACACCCGAATATTCCTTTAGCTGTACTGAACTCTTCTGTGGATGCACCATTGCTAACATAGCCTCTTTTCATGTAGGTTTCCTTCCATTTTTTTATGACTCTAAACAATGTTGCAAGAACCATCTTTGTTCACCTATTGGATGGCTTTTCTGATTATTTCCTTGTGATTTTCAAGAAGAGGAATTTGGGGACCAAAGTGTTTGCAAGTCTCCTAGGCTTCTGACCCATTTTATCAAATTACCTATAGAAAACTCAGGTCAACCTCTACATTCACCAGACAGGTTAAAGAATGCCCATTTTCCCACACCCACATCAGACAGTCCCAGTCCTTACAAGGTTCTCCACAATAGCCCCTCACAAGTGTCTCCCTGGGGCTTTATTCTGCACTGTTCTGTGTCCAGCCAAGCTCATTCCTCTTCCTCGTGTTAGTTCTTAAGGCTTTAGCAGATTTATACACAAGATGTTTCAGGCTGTCACTCATTGTGAATGTCCCTTTTCCCCTTTAGGCCTCAGTTTCTCCATCTGTACGGTGGGATGTTGGGCTACTTGAATGATCAGGGCCTGTATCAAGCTTTGTGATTTTTAGATTCAGGACATAAAACTCTCTCTGCCCCCTCTTACTGCCCCTTTGCTTAGTTCCAAGGCCCTGGATTCTCTCTTCGGGCCCTTGATTAACCCTGACCTTTCCCATGCAGGCGGGAGTTCCAGAGGGAGGACATCGCCCTGAATTACCGGGATGCTGAGGGGGATCTGGTCCGGCTGCTCTCAGATGAGGACGTGGGACTCATGGTGAGGCAGGCGCAAGGCCTCCCCTCCCAGAAGCGCCTCTTCCCCTGGAAGCTGCACGTCACCCAGAAGGACAACTATGGGGTCTACAACACAGTGCCCTGAGCTTCCAAAACTGTGGTATGAGGAGCTTGGTGGAAACTTTCTCTAGTGAAACAACTGTTTAACTTATGAAAAATACTTCTAATCAATTATTTAAAGTCTCCAGTAATTGTTCTAAGGGCATATAAAAAATAAAGAGACATTTATTCAAGAAGATCATAAAATCTCAATAAGACGGTGAGTCTGTGGCATGTGAACCATAATGTTCTCCCATTCCCAACCCCCAGCGCCATACAACAGAAACTCCACTCTGTATGCTCTATTCTGGATGGGTGTCAACGAGAAGACAGCTGACCCCTCAGTTCCTAGCCTTCTGCAGTTTCACCCCAGAAGGGACAGGCTGCAAATCTCTCTTACCTTTGCAGACCTGTCACACTTCTAGGCAATCACAGCTGAGAGTGGCCATATCAAAAAAACAAAAACAAAACCACAGAATGGAGGCTTGAACAGCAGAAGTTCTGGATGCTAGGAGATAGAAATCAAAGTGTCCACAGGACTGTGCTCCCTATGAAACCTGTAAAAAAATCTTTCTTGCCTCTTCCTAGCTTCTGATGGTTTGCCAGCAATCTTTGACACTGCTTAGTTTGTAGATGGAGCTGTCTTCACAAGGCATCTTCCCGATGTGTCTTTATACATCTTCCCTCTGTGCATGTCTGTCTCTGTGTCCACATTTCCCCCTTTTGTAAGGACACCAGTCATATTGGATTAGGGCCCACCCTAATGGCCTCATTTTAACTTGATTACCTCTGTAAAGACCCTATTTCTGAATAAGGTCACATTCTGGAGTACTAGGGGTTAGGACTTCAACATATAATTTGTGATTTGAATCTGTCAATTCAACCCGTAACATTCCTTTTACTACTTATCTCCTACTAAGGAGAAGTCTCTACCACAGGTGCAGCAGACCAGAAGTGCTGGTCCCTAATTCTCTTGTAGGGCAAAGGTTCTATGCTGAGAGGAACAACCCGAGAAGATCCAGGGGTACAGTGCCCCACTCCATTTCCCACTCATAGAACAGGATATCATTCCAGGAGAAATGGTCTAATTTCTCTGCACCCAGCAAATGTTCTGCCCATGGAGAGAGTCAGGCTTTAAGGAGGGAGAATTCCACAGTTTTTCCTGTGTGGACTGACTTTATTGAAAATAATCCTGAAGAAGTTGTCAAAAATAATGGGAATCTTGGTGGCCAGCAATTAAGAGGGGACTGATATTAGCAAGATGCTCATGGCAGCAAGAGAAAGGTAAGGTTAGAAATTCAACAGAGAATCAGGTAAAGAAACAACCAAGAATATCTTTTCTAGGATTACAGTCATTTCCAAGGATTCAGGAGACTGTACACATCTGCTAGGCTGCATTCAGGAGAAATCAAAGTAGGAAGGGTGGCAGACTTGAAGTCACTCCCTAAGCCACATACAGATCCATCAGTAAAGCACCCAGTCTTACTGGCACAAGGGGCTTAAGCATAACCTCTGACCAAGCAATGGATGAACAATAAGCTCCTCTGACCCAGAGGGAATTCTTAGGAAGTCAGGCTTAAAAATAAAATTGCACTCATTTCCTGGTAGTCTATAAGACTGTGTGCATGCCCAAGGTTGATCGCTCTCAGGAGTGACTGGAGAAAGAAACTCTGAGCTATTAGCTCCTGATTGAACATGGGGCAAAAAACACTCTGATCTATGAAAGATGTTCCAAGCCACATGCACAGCCAAAAGTAGAGGGTGAAACTATAACTGGTTAAAAGAGCTTAAGCATAACTTCTCACCAGTAGGAGGTTTATGCAGACCCAGTGGCAACCCCTAGGAAGAAATAGAATGAAAAACAAGATGGAAAAACTGAGCAGGGACATCACAGGCTGCACTTGTGGGGGAAACAGATGTCAAAAAATTAGTTTAGTCAAGTTATTAAACCAATATACAAGTAACTAAACAAATAACTACAATATTAAGCTCTAGAAGAAACAGGAGGACAGTATTGAGAGTTGCTACAAAATATTATCTAAAATGTTCAGTTCCTGACAAAAAATTATGAGAATTGCAAAGAAACAGGCAGGTATAAACCATACACAGAAAGGATAAAAGCAGGCAAAAGAAACAGTTTTGTGCATGTGTGGGGGGGGTGATGGAGTTCAGATGCTGAACTTAGCAAACAAAGATTATGAACTACAAATATGTTCAAAGAACTAAAGGAAACCATGTTTAAAGAATTACAATAGGTGTGGTGTCAATGACTCATGAAATAGATAATATCAATACAAAGATATAAATGATTTTTTGAAAGAGAACCAAATTGAAATTCTAAAGTTGAAAAGAACAACAACTGAAAGGAAAAATCCACCAAAAAGGCTCAAGAGTAGATTTGAGTTGGCAAAGAAAGAATAAGCAAACTGACAAATAAATCAAGATTATACGATCTTAAGAAAAAAAGAGGAATGAAGAAGAATGAGCAAGATTCAGAGAAATGTGGGGCACCGTGAAGTGCACCAACATATACATAATGAGAGTACCAGAGAGGAGAGAACAAGACAGAAAAAAAAAGATTTAAAAAATGGTTGAAAGCTTTCCAAACTTTATTAAAAACACCAGTCTACACTTCCAAAAAGTTCAACAAACTTCAAGAAGTATACATACAAAGAGATCCACATCTAAACACATCATAGTCAAAATACTAAAAGCCAAATATAAAGGGGAAACCTTGAAAGGAGCTACAGAAAAGTGATTCATTACATAAAAGTGAACCACAGTAAGCTTAGCAGCTGATTTCTAATCTGAAGAAATGAAGGCCAGAAGACAATGGGATGACATATTCAGAGTGCTGAAAGAATGAAAGAAAAAATTTCAATCAAGAATCCTATGTACAACAAAACTATCTTACAAAAATAAAGGTGAAATAAAAACTTTCCAAAACAAGCAAAAACTGAGAGAATTTATTGTGAAGCAGACTTGCCTTATGAAAAATTTTAAAGCAGCACACTCTATAACCTCATTTTAACTTGATTACCTCTGAAAAGACACTATATTCATATAAGGTCACACTCAGGGGTACTGGGGGTTAGGACTCCAATGTATCTTTTTGGAGGGACACAATTCAACCTATAATAGTACACTAGAAAATAACTGCTTAAGAAAAATTAAACAGACCTTGCAAGGTGTGTTCTTTCAAACCTAATTATTTAGCTTCTAATGTGTTACCTGACCAGATTCACCAAGAAACAACTAGACCCTAGTAGGACACACCCTTTGAGGAATCACAAGCTTCACAAGAAGGGAGGGGTACTCCAATGACTCTCCCATTAACTCCCCTCCCTCCCTCCAAAAAAACTATAATCAGAGGTGGGGCTAGAATCTGGGGTTTTATTCTGGAAAGTAGAGGCAGTTGAGAATGCAGACTTCTGGAAAGGCCATGAGATGGGAAGGCTGGACCGAGGAGTCCTGTGCTAGGACCTGAGAGTGAGGATGAGGGGATCCTCAAAGAGTGGCATCCCTGGCTTCAAGCAGAAGAAAGTTGACTCTCTGCCTATAAGTGTTCCCAGTTTAGGCTGACATGAGTCAGTCACCCAAATTAATATCAAGCAAAAGCCTCATTGTCAAAGATCACCAAATCTCTGTAAGTGAGAATAGGCAGAGACAATAAACAATAGTTTTAGAACCCAGTTTGGTGGTTTGTAAAGGGACAAGATACTGACCTACCATGTGACTCAGTAATTCCTCTGTCAAGAATATACCTGGAGGAACTCAAATCATTTTACCAAAAAGATACCTGCACCAGTATGTTTTTTGCAGCTCTAATCACAATTGTAATAAAACATGGTACCAACCATGTTGCCCATCAAAGCTGGAATAGATAAAATAAATGTGGTATATACCCAGTAGAATATTATGCAGCCATAAAAAAGGACAGATATAAGGATTTTGCAGAACTTTTTCTGGATATGCGTTAGGTCATTTTCAGTGATTTATCACAGAAACAAAGAACAGAGGTCCATATGTTCTCACTCATGAGCTGAACTTGATCACTCATAGTGCTGTAAAAAATGATTGCCAGTAGTGGAAAACTGTTTAAGGGGAGGGGTGAGATTGGCAGTGGAGGGATACTGCTAAGGAAGGGAGGGGCATACCTCATCAACCAGGGCCGTGCATAATCAATGTTTGTATATCTAACACTGAATTGTTACCCACATTTTTAAAAAAATTAAAATAAATAAATAAATGAAAGCTTTAAAACATGCAACTGAAAAAAAAATTAGTTTTAGAACCCAAAGACTACAAATTATTGAACTACATGACTAAAATATTTAAATAAATAAAGGATAAAGTCACAAAGATGAACAAGTAAAAAGAGAATCCAGGCAAGTTTTTAGATGTGCAATGCAAGAAGGTATATGTGTATGTGTGCATGTATGTATGCATATATGTGTGAGTGTGTGTGTAGAATTCAAAAGGCAATTTGGTAAAAATAAATCCACATTTTTCAATAATTCTGAGACTGTAAGCATAGATGGACTTAATGCACTAATTAAAAGATTGTGAGATTGAGTTTTTTCAAACCTAAATCCCTAGCCGGGCTCAGTGGCTCAGCCTGTAATCCCGCACTTTGGGAGGCTGAGGTGAGTGGATTGCCTGAGCACGCGGGCTTGAGACCTGCCTGGGCAACTTGGTGAGACCTCATCTCTACAATAAATCCAAAAGATCAGCTGGGTGTGGTAGCACACGCCTGTAATTCCGGTTACTCGGAAGGCTGAGGCGGAAGGATCACCAGAGCCCAGCAGTCGAGGTTGCGGTGGCCGGGAGCGGCCACTGCACTGCAGTCTGGGCAACAGAGTGAGACTCCAACTCAAAAATAAAATAAATAAATAAATAAATAAAACCTAAATCCTTGTGTCATATAAACAAGAAAATCACATTAAATACAAAGACATGAGAACATTGAAAGTATAAGTATGGAAAGAGATATTTCTGGAAACTTCTAACCAAAAGATAGCTGGGACATTGATACAGATTCATAATCTA